AATTCTGTAATTAATTTGCTTTGCAAGTTTTTTTGGAGATGCTAGGTCACCAAGTAACATCTTGGATTTGCTTTTTATTCAGTCAAAACATGTAAAAGCATACATTACTTGTGGCAGGACTGTGATCTCAATGCATTTTCCATCCAACTCTTCAATTTTGATATGAAGAACACTGCACAAAGTCATATTGTTCTTTAATTTCACTTCAATTACTCCTTACATCTATCCCACACAGAAAGCGGGATTTTATTTAATCCATGTTTTCCCAGGCTTCCATAGCCTGAGGGTACTAATGGAGTCCCATGAAGAAGAATCCAAATTCTATGGGCCTCTAACCTACCTTCCATGGGTACCTTCTGCAGGACCTCAATTGCCTGCGGCTCTTAAGGACTTCTAGATGCCCCCAGGTGTATATACTACACGTGCTCCCAGAGGGGTCTGCCTTTGTTGCTTGAGCTTCCTGCTGTGCCATCCCACATCCCACTGGGCAAGCTCTGCGTGCTGCCAAGCCTGCGAGTCTCACTGCCTTTTGCCACAGTGCAGGTAACAAGATGCCTCGTGCAGAAGGCTTAAAGCTTCAGAGTGCTGTGTTGGGAAGAAGGCAAGAATAGTTCATTCCTCTCTTGCCATTTTGTAGCCAGCCAGATTTGCTCTTGCCTTGGCGTCCTGCTTTTAAATAAAGCTCCTCTTGGTTTTTCTTTCTAATAACGCTTCTCTCTCTCTCTCTCTCTCTGTGGGGGGGGGGGGGGGAGGGAGTGTAGCTCGGATACAGTTCCAGTGGGGCTTGGGCCTGGAGTGAAATCTAAGTGACAACCACCTCGCTGAACTCATTCTTCCCTCCCCTCCAAAGTCTAAAGTTTCTTAAACTCAAGCTGGGACTCCTGGTGCACTCATACTCCAAAAAAGCTATATCCTCCATCTAAAGAAATGTTTCATAATCTTGGTGTCGGATAAGATTACTTTCATGAGTTCGTTGTGAAGAAAGATAAATATGGTCTTTTTAAAATAGCACATTATTAAGCCATTGAGTTAGCCATTATTGGTCTCATTCTTGGGAGTTTGTGGTTTCTTTTCTGGACTCTATCCTGTGTTAGTTTTCATTTTAGAGAAGATTGCTACCTGGTCTAGTATTGCACAACTAGTGGATAAAATCACCCTGGGGGGGGAGGGGCACCTGGGTGGCTCAGTTGGTTAAGCCGCTGCCCTCCGATTGGGTCATGATCCCAAGGTCCTGGGATCGAGCCCCACGTTGGGCTTCCTGCTCCGCCAAGAGCGGGCTTCTCCCTCTCCCTCTGCCTGCTGCTCTGCCTACCCGTGCTCTCCTTCTATCTCTCTGTTAAATAAATAAATAAAATCCTCAAAAAACCCCCCCAAATCACCCTGGGGTTAAAATGCAATTTACTCACCTGGCTAGTTAGATAGTTCTTCTTATCAATATAAATAGATGCATTGCCAAAATACAGGAACAAGCAAACAAAAACCTCCTGGGAATGGTGAGGAAAGCCCTTGGCCCCTAAAGATTTAAAACAAACAAACAAAGCATTCTGAAGTATGTGAATTAAAAAAAATAATTGACTCTATTATCTCTTAACCACATCCTTTTTAAGTTGTCTTCTAATCAATCAAAATCCTTGTGATCTTTCCATATTCAGATATTAATTTTGTATCATCACTCACTACTACATAGAAATTCATGGGAACTCCCTAGTCCTACCCCCAGCTTCACAAGGTCTTGAATATTTGTGGTTTGCTTATTCCTTAATTTCCTCGGCAGCCAATGTTTTTATTTCCTGAAGGATCCCTCCTTCCAAAGCAAATTTTTCTAAGAGAAACCAACTTCCCCCTCTGATTCTGTGATTTTTTATTTTAAAGAATTTCCCCCCCCCCACTGAGCATCTTCCTGGAAGAGTCTTCAGACTTGTTCCTCAATAATTACTTTTTCTCCTTGATTCTCAATGGGAATTTCTCCTGAATTACTCTAATATATGTGGAATTTTAAAAAGTACTCTTCATACATGGAATTTTAAAAAGTCAAACTCTTAGAAACAGCAGAATGGTAGTTGCTGAACATTGGGGGGGGAATGGGAAGATGTTGGTCAAAGGCATACAAACTTTCAATTATAACATGAATAAGTTCTGAGGATCTAATGTACAGCATGGTGACTATAGTTAACAATATTGTATTGTATCCTCGAAATTTGCTAACTGGGTAGAAAAAAAAAGAAGATAACTATATAAGGTGGTGGATATGTTAACTAACCTTGTTGTGGACATCATTTCACTGTGGATTGATATATCAAATCATCACGTTGTACATCTTGAATTTATACAATATTATATGTCAACTATATCTCAATAAAGCTGGGGGAAAAAGAATATTTCACTATGGTTCCTAGGATAAAAGCTGTAAAAAATGTAAGACCTTTTTAGCTTTTGTTGTGAAATACCAAAGAAAATATAACTTCAACATCATACTTACTCATTCAAATACTTATTAACATCTTGGGTACCAGCATAGAGCCTATGATTATGGTAAGGTATGAGACTCTGCCCAGGGTTCAAGGAACACATCATCTATTGGGGACTCATGCTGTGTTCCAGGGAGAGTGGCCTCTCTCCCCAGTTCGGTGTATAGTTTTCCTCTCACTATGCTTCTGGACTCTACTCGAATATCACCTTCCTCAGAGAAGCCTTCCCTGATTCCCACTCATATACCCGCAACATTAGCTAATCAACATTTCACCCTATTTATTTCCTTCAAAGATTTGTATCACATTGTTATTGGAAAACAAATTGTTCATATATTTATTGTTCATTTTCTTCTGCTACAACGCAAATTCCATGAGAGCAGGATTTTTTCCTGGCTTATTTATGGGCACCTGTATCTCTAATATCGAAGAGTGGCTGGTAAGCACACTAAAACAGCATTGGAAAAGAGAATGAATGAATGAATGAATGAATGGAAGTTGGATGCATGAATGCAGCAATTAGCTCGTTGCAATCCAATATGATTATTGCCATAGTGGAGGAAAGATCTGGGTACCGCCTTGTATCTAACAATTGACGGGTGTGGTAAACAAGGATTACTCTCTAGAGGGCATGGAAACATGGACTTGGGAGAGGAGCCTGGTCTGGAACATCCTGTAGCTTAGTATGTCTGGACATAAAAGGAAGAGGGGAGAGGGGAAAGGCCTGAGGAAACAGAAAATGGGCAGAAAGCAGGGACCCACCTGGAAAGGGTTAGAGATTCTCAGGGGGGCATTTCAGCCTTTATCCAGGGAGCAGCGGGGGAGCGGATAGACCCTGAACACTGACAGGTGAAGGAGAGAGAGGGAATAGGAACAGATCTATTCTATAGAACACTCACCTCAGAAGCACTATGGAAAATGGGATGGGATGGAGGAGACCAATAAGTCAGCCTGGTGATTCAGGAGTTCAGGCAAGAAATGATGAGGAATGGAACTAAAGCCAGGGTTATGGAAACAGAGTAGAGGGGAGGGTGTAAAATCTGGGCCTAAAATCAGTTGCAGAGGGAGGACTCAAGTTCAATTCCTCAGGTAGCTACAGCTCCTCAGTGGAAGTTCTTCGTTTTCTATAAAGCAGTCCCAAGGCTGCTACTTGTTCTTTGGAGACTAGACTGAGGCTGAGAGAGCACCTTCCAGATCAACCTGATGGTTGAAAGGACAGCCTCAGGGGTCAGCCACTCCTGCTGGAGGCAGAAAACATGCACCAGACCTCTTTGTTTTGGCCCACAGGTCAGCTTCAGCCTGGCCGCTTATATTCTGATATATACGGTAGGGTAGGGTTTCTGAAGCTTCCATCTCCTCATTCATCAAAATTCCTTTTAGATAAGGGTGTCTATTCACTTCTACACTTATCTAACAAGTATTTGGTGAAAGCCTACTAAGTGCTGGGTTCCAGGAACAAAGCCCCCCACCCTCAAGCAATCCAGAATTTTATTTTTTTTAAGGTTTATTTATTTGAGAGAGAAGAGAGTGTATGCGTGGGGTGGGGGAGGGGGCAAAGGGAGAGGGAGAGAGAGAATCCCAAGCAGACTACCCACTGAGGGAGAGCTGGACCAACCACAGCAGGGACTTGATCTCAGGATCCTGAGATCATGACCCAAGCCGAAATCAAGAGTTGGCCTCTTAACCGGCTGAGCCACCCAGGTGCCCCAGCAATCCAGAATTTAGTGCAAGAGACAAAAAGACCATTCAAATGCCCTATGATAAGTACTGTAATAGACATCCTCACACAAAAAGCACAAAGCAGAGACCCCTTAAGTCAAAAATGAGTTTAGGAGTGGGGGTCTTAGATCAGCCAAAGATAAGAATCCTCAGAAAGAAAAACAACTTGTAACTAAAGGATGATAAATATTCATTAAAAAATAATGCAGGTATAAATAAACACAAGTGCATCAAAAACATCCACAGTTAATATGAATACGTGACATTTATTGAGTGCATGAGATGTGCCAGGAGCAATGGATTTCGTCTATGTTTTCCTCATTTCATTCTCATACCAACCTTATGAGGTAGTCACATACTCCTCAATTTGCAGGTGAGAAAGTCACGGTTCACAGAGGTTAAATATTTGGCCCCAGGTCACACAGGAGTAGAGCTGGGATTCACACTGGAGGAGTCTGAACCCAGAGTTCTTAGCAGGGATGTGGCCCTACCCTCCGCAGTTAGAGCCATCTGTCTACCCATTGGTCAGTCCTCCACAGTGTTTAAGAAACTTGCCCACCATCCCCTGTGGTACTTCCGGGGGAAGAATTCAATCCAGTTGGCTGAGCTCCAGTGCATCTGCTCTTTCACACAGCCATGTCTTCGGGCTGAACAGACAGCCTCCATGAAGAAAAAGAATGAGGAAATACACTAGTAGAAAATTCACTTTCCCCTCATTTTCTTTGTCTCAATTCTCTACAGGAGGAGCCAAGTACCGCCTCCTGCCTAAGTGCCTCTGTTCCACAGGGGACTTTGTCAGAGGTTACAAGGCCAGGGGCGGGAGAGGGTGGGCTGGCCCACACACTGCTCCACCATTTGCCTGAGGGTGCTGAGAAAGCTGGCAGTCTATGATGGGAAGTCATTCTCAAGGAACATTACCTACAGGTATGTTGTATTATGCTGTATTATGAGGACAAATACTTTTTTTTTTTTTCCAAAACAGTAATTGGGACCGTGCAGTTGCTATAGTGTTTATGAAAAACTGGAAGGTTAGCCAGAATTTATGTTGAGATTCTTCCATATTTGTACCTCAGCATCCCAAGAGTCGGCTCATGATGATAATAGAGGTCCATATTGTCATATTACCATTGATAGCTCCTTCCAATATAGCTGGAAGACCTAGGCCTTTCCCCACCTGAAGGAGGCCCCAAGTTATTTTTGTGGGAGTCTGGGATGCCTCTCTTGGGTATCCCTCTCAGGCCTCCAGAATTCAGAGTGACTCCTGCTCTCCTGAGGGAGAGCTGCTTTCATGCCCCTTCCTGCTGCTTCCCTCAAAGGTACAAATGAGCTGGGCCTTCTTTAAGTTTCCCTCTGCAAGGAGGCTGGCTCTTTCCATCAAAATTTGGAGATGCCTTTCTCCACACTTCTCCCTTACATCTTTCCAGCCAGGACTTGATCCAGCATTACTTGAATCATGAGTCTCGGGAAGCTACTTGGGAAGGCAAGGCCCTCAACAGCTGCTCCCAGCCCCTATTCTCCATGCTCAGATTGGAAAAAGGTCCCAGGATTCCTTCCCCATCCTTCTCCTCGCCTCCCTCCCAGGCATCTGCATAAAGGAGACTCTCTTGCCCTTATGCCTACAGAAGAGCCCAAAGTGAGGCCTTGTTCAAAGTCAGAACCCAGGTGGCCCATTCACCCCACCCAATCTAAACCCTCACCTTGGCCCAGAAGCTACCTTCTCTAAGGAATACAATCACCTAAAAATGATTGAGGAGATACTGGATTATCTATAGTAGGAGTAAGGCTGTCATGGGATGATAAAGAAACGTGAGATGACATCGATACTTAGATGAATCCAAGTGTCCGTGAATCATGGATTCATACAATCCATGAAGTACATGTATATATGGACTTCAGAAAATGGAGCCCAAGAAAGAAGATTTCTCATGTCTTTTTGGACGTTGGGAAGCCTGGGTAGCATAATGTAGAGAAGATGCCATAGCCTGCATAGTCACAGAGCCTGCACGATTGGTGGTGGGGGCCCAACAGGCAGAACAGAATGACATGAATCCATCAATGATTCTGCAACTGGAACAAGCCACTGGCCCTCTGAGCCTTACATTTGTTTTTTGGGCTTTTTTAAAGATTTTATTTGTTTGACAGAGGGAGAGACAGTGAGAGAGGGAACACAAGCAGGGGGAGTAGGAGAGGGAGAAGCAGGCTTCCCGCGGAGCAGGCAGCCTGATGCAGGGCTCGATCCCAGGACCCCGGGATCATGACCTGAGCCGAAGGCAGATGCTTAATGACTGAGCCACCCAGGCGCCCCAAGCCTTACATTTGTTTTTATACCCAACGCAGATAATTATACCATCCTGACTGGGTTGTTTGTGCTCAACATAATTATCTACACTTGTAAACCACAAGTGCCAAAAAATATTGGTTATTATAATATTGCTTGCAAGGAAGAACTAGAACAGAAGTTGAGTTAGGGGCAAGGGTGGGGAAAGGGGAAGGGACAGGCGGTTGAGGCAAGGGGAGTGGTCTCTAAAGACTATGGGACACAGTGTGGGTAGCTGGGGGGGGGGGGGGCGGGGGGACCAGTACAGGCCAGTGGAGGTACCTCAGGAGGGAGGAAGATGTCCCAGGAGACAGGAAGAGAAGACTGAAGGAGGCAAATGGGGCCAAAGACGCAGTGCAGAGGGAGGTTTTCTCAAGAGTCCTAGATGCTTTTCAAATGTTCCACTGCCATTCCCAGCTTGATGTCAGAGATCGTTCCTGCTTGGCATGCTGCATAAACCTGAGGTCAGGAGGCTTGGAAGCTGAAATACAAGCCAGGAAGTATGAATCGGTGCCACTCAGACTTCCCAGCTTACGACTTCATGAGGTGTGTGTGCATACCTGTCTCACACGGACAGACCTCAATCCCAAGTCTGAGCTACACAGAACCAACAAAGCAGAGGTTCCCCAGTTCACCTTTAACTGCCAAGCTCTTTTTCATATTGCTGAGGTAATATTCAAAATTTCCTTCGAAGGGTCAGTGTGATTCTGGCAAGAGGAGATGATCATTAAGCCTGGTAATGAGAACAAGTTGTTTTGGGGCGCCTGGGTGGCTCAGTTGGTTAAGTGTCTGCCTTTGGCTCAGGTCATGATCTCAGGGTCCTGGGATCAAGCCCTATGTTGGGCTCTGCACTCAGTAGGGAGTCTGCTTGTCTGACTCTCCTTCTGCCCCTCCCCACCGCTCACGCTCTCTCACTTTCTCTCTCATAAATAAAATATTAAAAAAAAAAAAGAAAACAAATTGTTTTGAAGGGATGGTTAAAATTATGTATGGCAGGAATTAAATATTCCAGGTAACATTTAATGAATCATAAGAGTGGTTTTTTAAGACTAATGCAATAAATGCTTCCCTTGAGACTTCTGGTTGAAGTACAGGGTTTCACCTCAGGAAACTTTTAAGTATAAAGTATTATAATTGTAGAGGTTGTGAGGGAGGGCATTTAAAATATGCAGACTGATTGGCACGCTCTCAAACCCCAGGTGCGACTCTGTCCCTAACTGATAAGGCGACAGTTGGTATCCAGATGCTTCCATTCAAGAAGTGGTTTTGCCCCCCAAAATGGGGGAAACCACTTTGACAGTCTTGGATTCCAGTCATGGTGGGGCAGCTCTAAGGAATTCCAGGCGAGCCCATTCTCACAGTCGGAAAGCAAACAATGCAGAGAATAAACTGTCTAATCTCAGTTCTTCCCATCCGCCTCACCTGGAGAGTAAACTACTTTGTGTTGTGTAAAAACAGTTCACAACCCTCTTAAGAAGTAGGAAGAAGGGGGCGCCTGGGTGGCTCAGTTGGTTAAGCGACTGCCTTCGGCTCAGGTCATGATCCTGGAGTCCCTGGATCGAGTCCTGCATCGGGCTCCCTGCTCGGAAGGGAGCCTGCTTCTCCCTCTGACCCTCCCCCCTCTCATGTGCTCTCGCTCTCTCATTCTCTCTGTCTCAAATAAATAAATAAAAAATCTTAAAAAAAAAAAAAAAAGAAGTAGGAAGAAGGAAGAGTGGGCAACAGGAACAAAGGATGCACCTGCTTGAAAATCACCCTTTCTCATTCATGCCTCAGGGGTCCCTGTGCTAGGAGCAAGAACTCAGGTTTTGATAGAAAAGAACTTTGGATGAAATTCTACAATGCCCCCCTACCCTAGGGTCAGTTAACATTGTAAGGAAACTTTAGGGTGAGTATAAAGGAAAGAAGCAATAATGGCTGAATCTCAGGCATCCAGAAATAGGCGGTCAGAGAAACTTTGGGATGATTTCCCTGGCTCCTTTCACACTGCAAGGAACTGCCTGACACACAGGACTGGCCTCTGTGCATATAAACGTATGTCCACTGTGTCGGGGGACGTTTGCTTTGGCTTCTCTTGGAGGCATCCATTTGTCCAGGGAGGTCTGGATGGCCAATGAAGGCATTGCCTTCCTTGCCATCTTAGCAGCTTTAAGAGGGTGAGTATTTTTCTTTGAGACCAAGGCTGGCACAGACAACTTCCTCGCTGAAATTTTCTGCCAGGCTGGGTTGCTTTTCTTGCATAATTCCACCCCTCCTTCCCCCACCAGCCTTTGGTCAAATTTCTGGAGACTTTGGCATATGTATGTGGGATTGTATCTATCCCTTCCTGATGTGGTGGATGCAAAGATATGCCTTCTCTTGGGTGAGATTTACAAGCATGTTTTCCTCCTTGACAGGAACAAAGAGCCACAAATATTTCCTAAGGGGAGAAAGAGGCTTCCAGATGCAAGGCTCCAAATGTGAGGATTGTTAGGGTTTTTTTTCCTTTTGGCATTTTTATAACTTTTTTTTTTTAAAGATTTATTTATTTATTTGAGAGAGTGAGAATGAGAGAGAGAGTACATGAGGGGGGGGAGGGTCAGAGGGAGAAGCAGGCTCGCTGCCGAGCAGGGAGCCCGATGCGGGACTCGATCCAGGGACTCCAGGATCATGACCCGAGCCGAAGGCAGGCGCTTAACCAACTGAGCCACCCAGGCGCCCCTTTTTGGCATTTTTAAAGTTTAATAATTACACTGGACATATTTACCCAGAAGAAGGTCCACAATTTTCATCCTAACAAGGACTTCATGAAAACCTCCAAGTCACAAATACATCTGCATCTCTGATTGTCTTCCTGAAGCAGAGACCACAGAGGCCTTGCATTTCAACCCAGACTAGAGACTGCAGAAGATAGGAGAAGGCCCCTTTTCCTCTCGTTTTCCTTAGCCATGGTAGCACAGACTGCAGAATAAGAAAAGGGAGGAAAAAACATTTCTAAACTCTTGAACTCTCAGCAAACTACTTCTAAATTGTCTCTAGTTAAAGGGCTACTGGGAAGAGAATTATAAATGCCAAGAAGACCTTTCAGCAAACTTTTACAACCCACGGCATAATTTTATATTTTTAAAACTAAACCATTCTAATTGGTAATATTTTCTATTTTAGAATAGTATTTTCCAGGGCTAAAGAAACCTTTAGTTTATATGACCTATAATATAAAAATGTTCTGTCACTATGATCAAAATAATTATGGGAGATACTTAGTTCACATGTGGAAAATCACTATCACCCACAATTTAAAAAAAGTTTTGAAGAAATAAGCTACTTATATTTAATTAAAAAAACATTTCTCTTTTAAGTGTTGGCAAAGAAAAAGACTAAGTCCTAAGAAATCTTTTTGGCTCTTTATCTTACATTGACTTATAAGCAATCGTGGAGACATTTAATGCAGGTAAATGGCTTTAGCCCATTTTTATTCTAACAGGGACAAAACTCAGGTGCATATGAATCAGATTCTGCTTTAGTGGGTCTGGGGCTAGAGCGATATTCTGCATCTCTAACAAGCTCCCAGGGATGGAGACACTGCTGGTCCATGGAGCACATTGCACAGAGAATGTAGGGGACAGTTCATCTTCCTTTCCCTCAGCCTCCAGTCGAGGGTGAGACAGTGGATACTGGAGTCACACAGCCCCAAGATGGTGGGAAAGGAACTGAACCCTCTAGAGGCATTTTTGACATGTTCTTACAGTGTGGTGAAAAGTAGTTTAATCTGAGCTATTTAAAAAATTGGTAAATCCCTCCTAAGTTCAAAGCCCTAAAATAGGTACTGTATAACATTACATAATACTATATAATTTAAAGATAATCTCTTTAGGGGCACCTGGGTGGCTCAGTCAGTTAAGCATCTGCCTTCAGCTCAGGTCATGATCCCAGGGTCCTGGGATGGAGCCCCGCATCAGGCTCCTTGCTCAGTGGGGAGCCTGCTTCTCCCTGTCCCTCTGCCCTCCCCCCTGCTTGTGCTCTCTCTGAAATAAATAAATAAAATCTTAAATAATAATAATAATCTCTTTAAATTTAACATCTGTGCTCTGATTATCACCTCTGTTACTGTTTCTCCTATGCACACACCTTTTATTTTGAAAATTTTCAAACTTGAAAAGTTGTAAACTAATATAACAACTTTAGTTTAGATTTATCAATCTTTTTTTTTTAAGATTTTATTTATTTATTTGACAGAGAGAGAGAGCACAAGCAGGGAGAGCGGCACACAGAGGAATAGGGAGAAACAGGCTCCCCGCTGAGCAGAGAGCCCGATGCTGGACTCAATCCCAGGACTCTGGGATCATGACCTGAGCCCAAGGCAGACTTAACTGACTGAGTCACCCAGGCACCCCTAGATTTGTTAATCTTGAACATAAATAAACATATCCATGTATACATACATAATATACATTATACATGTACATATATATACCATATATTTAGTTTATTTTCATGTTTGTGACCATATTTGTTTGAAAATAAATTGCAGGTCTTGGGGTGCCTGGCTGGCTCAGTCAGAGGAGCATGAGACTTGATCTTGGGGTCATGAGTTCAAGCCCCATGTTGGGTGTAAAGATTACTTAAAAATAAAATTTGGGGGTGCCTGGGTGGCTCAGTCGTTAAGCGTCTGCCTTCGGCTCAGGTCATGATCCCAGGGTCCTGGGATCGAGCCCTGCATAGGGCGCCCTGCTCAGCAGGAAGCCTGCTTCTCCCTCTCTCACTCCCCCTGCTTATGTTCCCTCTCTCGCTGTGTCTCTCTCTGTCAAAAAAATACATCTTTAAAATAAAATAAAATAAAATTTGGAAGGAAGAGCGAGCGAGCGGTAGAGCATGCAACTTGTGATCTAAGCATTATGAGTTCGAGCCCCACATTGCCCATAGAGATTACTAAAAAATAAATAAACTTAAAAAAAACACAACTAAAATATTCCTGCTTAAGCAGCTGCACTGCCTTCAGTTCTTCCCCAAGGCCAAAATCAGCTTGATTTAAAAAAAAAAAAAATCACAAAATCCAGTTTCCATCCCATAATGCAGAAACCATGTGCCACCTCCAAAACAGCCAGGTAGCCTAGCTACCTCTAGAAAGCTCTTTGCTGCATTTATATAAAGTTACCGCAGGTCGCTCTAATATTCTGCAGTGGTTGTCTCCTGGGTTCCACTGGTCAGAACTGGCATATGGTGCTAGAGCCTATACCTCAGAGTGGCTTTTAAAGGAACTTCCAGAAAAGAAGCACATTTCAAATAAAAGAAAAGCAACATTTTTCTTTCTTCTTATTTGTTTTTGTTGAAGAAAATCACACTGAGAACTAGTAGTGAATTAACACAAATGACAAAAATTTAGAAAAGCTTTTTCAGCATAGAAACATTTCAAGAGTAGAATAAAAAATATTTTACACATAAAAACCCATCTTGATGATGTAGAATTTGAAACTTCTAAGACTTAAAAGATAAAGCTGTTAGTCTACAATTTGGACTCCCATTGAGGCAAAAATAGACAAGAAGAGTTTGAAGAGGATCATAACCTTTTATATTAGATTTTTACATATGCTAGAGAAACACAACACTGAAATTCCAGCCACTGCCTTATTCATAAGAATGCACACTGAGATGTTATAATTCTGTCTCGATGATGTTTTCTTTTCAACTGA